CTTTGCACACTCTGTGTTGGCGTAAATTCTAAAGAGAGCAAATTGTTAAAGTTTATTAACGGCTATGGGAACTCACATATTTCCAAAGAGCTCACTTTTTTTAGTAATGGGTTCTCTCAGGGCATCTCCCTGCTATTTACAATTCAAGCCTTCTTTATGAAATTATTCCAACCAAATGCTTGCTTGTTCAGTGTCAAAATTTACAGTCAGATTTACAGAGACTAACCATTGAAAAGATTTTGTCAATAATAAGATAACAAACAACTCTTCGACAGACTCAAGTTTTCTGGTATATAGTATATAAAAGAATTCACTTCCAGAACAACCTTTTTGAAAAGCTGTATTACAGTGTGTGGTGTTCAGAGCATTGGAACTAAAGGGAGGAGCAAGTCTGGTTGGTTTTCAAATTTATAATTTTGTTGAAGTAATAAAGACACGAAAGAACGTAGCGCACATGTTTTATCATTTGAATTGCTGCCTTCACAATGGGAAAAATAAAATTGTTATAAGTGTTTCTCTTTTGCAGTAAATAATCATAATCTAGTTTTGTATTTGTGTGTGCTTTTACTATTTTTAGGAGACGTGAGGCACACTTGGAGCTAGGAGGGTGGATTAAAATGGGATTTCAGATTCTTGGGAACTTCTGTTTTGTGGCCAAAAGTTCTTGGCAACATTTGTATGTGAAATGTTAAACTGAATTTACTGTCTCAATTCATAGGTAAAAGTAGAAAGTGTTTGCTGTGAATTATTTGCTGTTTGATTTGGTTAATCTTTTAGGAATAATGATTTGGAATTTTAGTCATAATGTTTGGAATTTTTATTTACATTTTAGAACTTTTAAATTAGATCTGTGCTGTTGTTTTCTCCCCTGCTTCTGGCGTGCTTTAAGCTGTGTAAGACTACCTTGCCTCTTAGTGAAGAGTTGGCACGAGAAATAATCATCTTTGAAAATTCTTTTCAATGTGTTTTGTCTTCCTCTCCTCTCCATCTGTAAATAGTGGTTCTTTCTGTGAAACATTGGTCATCTTTGTTTTAGTTGTAGAAGTTGGCTTTGTCAGCTGATTTGCTGTGGAAGCAATACAAGTTATATTACATTTATCTGAGGAACAATCACTCTTTTCTTTTATTCTTTAGGTACCTGAAGTATTCACCCCATCACTTACCACATTCCAGATGGGAAATGATGGCTAAGAGCAAAAAAGCAGAAAGCTGTTAAACCACCTTTTAGTTTATAGTCCCTCATAAGAACTTTGAGAACATATCCAAAGTAGTAGGCTTAAACTAAGTAGTAAGGTTAAACTATTCTCGGTGCTGAACCACTTAAAATTTGAAATTAAATTAACACTGGCAAAGATTAATACTCTCAGATGAGCTTTGCTAATAAAAACACAGCTTAAGAAAGTACTGTTTTCTAGCTAAACATGGCTGTGTTTCTTACGCATACCAGTGCAGAATCAAACATGGAAGTTCGTGCTCTTGAAAACAGCTTGAATTCACCTTTTTGACTCCGCATGGGAACAGACATGGAGAGCTAATGACAGGGTCAGTAGTAACAGTTAAGAGGTTTAAAATAGCCTGTTATCAGGTAAACTCGGTGGTCTGTGACATAGGCTTTTCTTATTTCTCATTTGTCACAGGAGAAGGTGCAATGTTCCCTTCACCCTAAGCAAGCTGTTTTTTCAATTTATTCAATTTTTTATCATACTTTTATACATTTTCACATCTGCCTGTAACTATATTAAGAGTTTGCAGATTTAGGAACACTGTCTCAGGCAGAGCTGAAAGTTGAACCTGTGGAAATGCACTTCTTACAGTCTGTTAGCACAGCACAAACTGTCTTAGTGCATTTGTCACTTTATATGTCGATTCTGTTTCAAAAATGAAATTACGGCCTTATTTTGGAATTTTTGCACACGTTTGGTGGGCAGGGGAAGTTGTATGTTGGGGGGGGGGTTCTGTGCATATAGGAATTGGTTATTTGTGTTTAACTTTCTTTACGGTTAAAAAAAATACTGCTGAATTATTTTGCACAATGTTGCATTGGGAAGGTAGCCAATTTCATCTGTTCCAGGTCTTGATGTGAGTTTGTGGGAAACCTCTAAATGCATTGATTTTTTCTCCTGTACAATAAATGAATCCAATAGGATTTTTGGTATGGCCATGTGACATGTATTTTGTACATAACCCACAAAATGGACCAAAATCACTCAGTCAGTAATTCATAACTGGGGAAGTGGTCTCTAGTTTACACCATATCACGTAATGTTCTCTTTGTGTTAGGTGAAAGTATCCATACTTATGTGCATTATATACAAATAATATGTGTTACATGTCTTAACTAATAATTTATGTCGTGTAAATAGGTCTTTCATTCTATAAGAACCAGACACATTGACTTGTTGGCTAATTTTCTACAAAAGAAAATTGATTTTCTCTTCTCAGTAGTGTCTCTCGGGTTGTTGTGGAGATACTTTTATTAACACAGAGTAATATAAATCAGGACTGTCCTGGCAGTAGAATTGCATTAGGTCTTATAACTTATTTTGAATTAGAGAGTTTAGTAATCCAGGCTAACAGCCTAGCTTTGCTGGGTTTTTTTAAAGAAGTTTCTTGATTATCTGATTGTGTATTTTGGATGACATTAAAAAGCCTGGAGGAGTACTTGCTAAAACAAACAAATTGAGATGTTTGAAAAATACTTAAATCCAGTACAGAAGAATTCAGGTCCTGTGTCTGGTGAAAACCAGACTTAACTCTATACATAGTGTCTCTTAGGATAATATGGATGCTCTCAGTAGACTTACAAATGCCTCCTGGTAGATTTATAGGTGCCCCTCCAAAACAGTATTTCCAGTTCCTGCAAAACAGTATTTGGGAGGGAAGGGTGGGGGGTTTTGAAATTTAGGAATAGTTGAAAAGGAAATGAAATAAAATATTTCAGTTTTTCTGCAGGCTGGAAATCCCAGTAAGACATTTCAGGAACACCCACCAACACTCTCCTTCCAAAGTAAAGTATGTTCCCTGAGGCTTGCAGCTGTTCGTGGAACCAACGCACTTGTCAGTCTCATTGCTGCAATGTCCTCCTGGAGTCTTCATCATCTTGGCAACACATTAATTAGACTTTTGCTTGCTGTAGAGAGCCCTTTCCAAGAGCATGTAATTTGAAGTGCTTATGGGGCAGTAAGGGATCTGGAAGCACTGACAGCCTTAACTACAAAAGGCTTCTCAAAGCTTCCAGGCTCACCAGGAATGCACTTGGAGCCAGGTCTCAGTCAGGAGCTCAGAAGCAAGATTTTCAGATTTACAGCTCAGTGGCAGAGAGGCGTCAGGGGTTGACTTAAAAGTCACTCAGAAGTGAGCCTTTTAAGTCTTCCTATATGCATTGCCTCGGGAAAGGGTTCTGTTCTTCCAGGATCTGTGGTTGTTGGGCTTTTCTGCTGAGATCTGCCTGGGAGACTTGGGCATTGCCAGACATTTTATTCTAGGCTAAAATACTGTGCAGGTTGTCTAGCTGAAAGCCAAAACAGTTTAGCATTGACCCTCAGGCAGGAGAAGCATTCCAATACTTGAGAAACCCAGATTTGTCCCAAGGTCATAGTCCCAGAAAAGACTCGTATCAAGACATTCTTCAGTCCTAGAATATTCTGCTTCGAGATTCTCTTGGATTTCACTAAAATGTGGCTTTGGCTTGAATGAAGCTAATTAAAAGAAACTTAAAAGCGAAAATGCTGGGGTCAATGAACAGATATTTTCCTCCAGTCTTCTTTTACTGAATAATTAAACAGATTTGGCCAATTGTATTTTTTGCTGTTTGGTTCTTTGGAAGCAGCAGCTTTTAACTCTGAGTTTTATGCTGCTGCAGTTCTGTCCAATTACCTTTAAAGGCCGCAGAGTATATCGGATTTAGACTTAACTGTGCTTTGGAACAGAACATTGGCAGCTTGTAAAACAACTTTCCACAGCTGCACACAAGGAGGAAAAAAGTCTGTAGTCTGATTTCCTATTGTAGGTTCATTTCAGACAAGAGAAAGGCCTTGAGTTTGCAGGCAGTCTTGGTTGGCAAGATAGCTCCACCAAACTTCTCTTCACTGAAGCACATTTGAGCAATTCTGAAATACCTTTAACTGATATCAAATAGCAGTTCAAGATACAAGAGCAGAGGGTATGGGAGAATGAAAAGATAGTCCTTAGTCTGCTGGTTTAAATTCTGGCATAAATGCTGCCTTTTCGTTGTCTTTTGATATGCTTGGGAACTGTTGAATTAATTTTACTAATAAATTATTGCTTTTTATAACAAACCAAACATTAGAAAAAAACCCAAAACCCCACAAAAAAAAAACAACCAAACCCAGAAACACTCAATCCTCTAAAGCTTTTTGTCCCCATAGCCAGATATTAAAAAATCATATTTCCTAGATAACTAGGCAAAAACAGTTTCAGTAGGTAGGCACACTCAAATTAGTCCTACTTCATATGGTTCACATAACTAGCAAGGACTTCAGTATGTTAGCGCCGTCTCTGCAGATCTATACAACGCTGCATACTCATGTAATTATTGAAGGCTGCTAACCTGGAATTTGTTTTTCTAGATAATCTAGGTTAAAAATACTGCCAATAACCAAGTCTACAACCATATCAGTGTTTCAGAAGTATATTTTAGACATTTTTTATACCCACTCACACTTAGATTTCTTTTCCTTTCAAAGAAGTTCAACTTTTTTCATGTTTTTACTTTGTTCTTATGTCAATTCTAATTCAAAAAATCACTTACATTTTTTAGATTGAATTAAGAAAGGTAAATTTATTTATAAATTTATATTTTCCTAGAAAGTATTTCCCCATACTTATAACTAGCATTTGCACCGTATATTTATTTCTGTGTAATAATTAATCTTCCCAGTTTGAAACAGATTACCTAGATAACATTTTGCAGTCATCATAGTATCTGTAAAATACGTATGTGTGCATGAAGTGTTTTTTCTTGAACCTTTTTATTACAGGCTCACGAGGCAACACTGGAGGCTAGGGCCAGCCCAGAGCTGAGCGATCGTATGCAGCAGCTGGAAAGGGAGGTAACACGGTATCGGGAAGAATCTAGCAAGGCTCAAGCTGAAGTGGATCGTCTTCTGGAAATCTTGAAAGAGATGGAAAATGAGAAGAATGATAAGGATAAGAAGATAGCAGAACTAGAGAGGTGAGAATAGTATGAAGTTACTAGAGAAGCAAAAAAGCTGATTAAACTTAGTGATAACTTAGTCCATTTTTCTTCTACAAACCTTAGAGTGCCTATTTTGGGAAAGTCTAGAGGGGTTTTTTGCCTTTAGTTATTTATTTTGGTAGACTGTAATTGAAAAGGTGTCTTACTGTATGCTTTCATTACCTGGCTGCTTAAAAACAGGGCCAATATAGATAGAACTAGAAGGGTAGATAGAGCTGTAAGGGAATGAAGATGGTAGGAAGAGCTGATGACACTGTGGTGTGCTTGGAGAACAATTAATTCTTTTGATTTAATGAATTCCTCAGGCATGTTTTAAAAAAAACCCAAAAGACTAATACAAAAAATTGCTTTAATAGCTTGTGATGCTAGGTTCCTCTGAGAAGCGGCATTGAAACTCTTTGTACTGGTAGGGATGCAGGTGAACTTTGGCTCATGTGAAGCCAAATGAACACGTTTGCTTTTGTCCAGACGAAATCTTATTTAGCACTTTTCGTCATTTTCTACCTTTCTGTTGAGCCAGGGTGTTCAGATATTTTTTTTAAGACTTTAATGTCCAAAAATTATGATTTATTAAGATTCCATGGCATTTGTATTGTAATTCTAAATCATAAGTCTTTAGAAAGACTTAAAACAGATTCTGTTTCCTATCATTTTCTTACCTTATATTGTGCCAAGAGGGAGTTTCTAGGCAGTAATACCTGTTTGGGGCTTTTTGTTTACTTTACCATTCTCAGTGAAGAATCACTAACTTGGAACAGCAAATGGAAAATTGATTATTCCCATTTGTCCTGGTAGCTGAACCCAGGACAGCCTTGAGCCAGAATAGTCTAATTTCTATCTTATCACTATTTAACTGACCTGCATTTATGTCAGGACGGTGAGGGCAAATGAGTAGAGGACATTTCAGGTTCTGCGTGATGACAATGGTTATTGTTCAATGGCTTGATGATAGCCAAATTATGGGCCCCTCTGAGTGTTTTGAAAAACTCTTTTCTAAGAAGTCCATTCTTGTTTTCTTAAAAGTGAGACAGCTCTGAAATTCTTCAACTTGTCCACTAGGTTCCTTCTCTCTTCGTGATTGTAAGCAGCATGCCGTTAGTTTTCTTGAAGTTGTTCTTTTATTTAACCACAATTCCCTATACCTGTGGTGTAAGCTTCATTTGAACACCCCAAAGCGAGGATACATCCTTTTCAACTGTCCATCCTTTTTTTTCTAAGTGATATAACTTTCAGCCCATGGATAGATGATGCCTTCAGCCTAACATTCAGGCAATAGGAATATAGAGGAGGTGCATTGAGTATAGACATGAAAAAGCTTAAATAGCAGTTACAAGTCGTATTTTTGTGTGTGATTTTTTTCAGTCCCTTAGAGGTGCCCATCTTGGGCTTGACGTTCACCATGTCATCATCTTAGGGCTTGCAGGTTCACTAGCGATCAGGATATAAGCAACAAGCTTCTATTTGAAGTAAGGTATGGGGAAAAAGTATGTTCACAGTGCATTAATTTTTTCTGTGTGCAGAAGTAATTATTGTTTAGGAAAAGCAAGTCAGAAATATATCTTATTCCTCAACTGATTCCTAGAGGAGATTGGAAGAGCAGGAAGATGGTTTCCTTATGCACACCTTTAATGCAAGTATCATTTTTTTTATTACATTAGCATTCAAGATTGGGGCTTGCAATGTGAAACACTGAATAAGCACATCCAAGTAACCTATAATAAAAAGAGTTTGTAGTCTACAAAGCAAAAATAACAAAGAAGAGAAATTAAGATGGGCCTCCCCCTTTATAGATAAAAGCATTGGCACCCAGTATTCAAAGAGTTAGAAAGGAGCTTTCTCTTTGAAAAGATGCAGTTCTAGAGATCTGCAAAACAGTTGTTTTTCATGTTACAATGGTAGTTTCTTGCTGCTTCAGTCACAGACCAAACTCTTGCTGCATCAGTGAAAGCATAAAACCCTCAAATGACTGGGCATCATTCCATAACAATTGGGTGAATAATATCACTATTTAGTGTTAGCCATTCCTTCTTACCACCAGATCTTCACTCTTATAAGGAAAAAAAAATAGTCGTCCTCTTTTCTTCTTGTCATCTTTTGTACTAGTACTGAGATAAAGTAGAATATGTCTTCTTTTACATCTAGTATCTATTTTATCAGTGTCAAAGACTATTTTTGTTATCATGTGATTGCCAGCAGCTATGTAAATCAAGAGGGGAAAAAATCTCCTTGTGGGTTTTTACACAAGGCAGAGATTTTAACGTGCCCATTAAATGTATAGGTTGGTCCTAGTTTTATCTATCATGCTTGTTTATAAAGTATTCTTTCATATACTTTCTGATATACCCAGGCATGTTACATGCATGTTTAGAGCTAGAGTCTGTTTCCTGAGAAGGTTAAATAATTTTGCCTTCTGAAAGTCCTTCCTAAACTGTGGTCCATGCAGAGCAAGCTAGAAATTATCTTGACTTTTAATGCTTCTGCAGCTGTTCAAACTCTGCTGTGCAAAGAAGAACCCTAGTGCTTGCAGAAGCATTTGTCAGCAAGCATAGAAGTGAATATTGCCGTGCCTATCGGGCACCAATATTGTTCCAGGTAGAACAAGATGAGAAAAAATAAGTCACTTTCAGAGAATAACTGTACTGATAAACCCAAGATTTTTCAAAAGAGTATCTCCCTGGAGTTTTCCCTTATGCTAGTTATATGTGACAACTAGAATATATGTCATCGGGAGAAGAGAAATAGTAAAATGATTTCATCCATAGAACAGAAGAAATGGGTTGCCTATTAGGGAGGTATGTATAGGGGAACAGAGAAGGAGAAGAGATAGGAGGAGAGGAAGATGAAATGAAAAGCAAAGAACTGTTCTCTTAAGCCTCTTCAGTGATGGCAAAGCTTCCTTCAGTTCAAGTTAAAATAAAGAGGGAAATGCTTTCATTCTTCAGTAACTGTTGCAATTATGGGGTGTGGGGGGGAGAGGGATGCTTTTCAGTGAATGGGAGGAAAGATGTAAGAAAATAATGTGTTAAGTATGGTGCATGCTATGCAAAAGTTTTGAAAATACTCTAGAATCAGCATGAGATTGAAATCAGAAGCTCATTAATTTATATCCTCTGTGGGCAGGACTTTGCTTTTTCTTATGGGAAGGTGGGACATAAGTCTGCATTTCTTCTGTGGGTGAACAGCCCTCTAAGTTTTGTTTCTGTCCCCGGATTGTGGTGGTGTAGAGGGTTTTGTAGCTGTCTGGTTATTCACTTTCTTTATAACTAACTGATTGCTTTTTGTATTGTCATTCCATAACTTCCTGTCTCTCTGTAACTTCGCATTTTGTGTTTTGTTTCCTTCCTCAACTTTTCTCTCCATTTTCACTGTCACGTCCTGGTTCCATGAGTTGGTTTGTTTTGTACGTGCGGGGTGTTTTTTTGACTATGCCTTTTCTCAGAAAGCACACCTCCTGCAAATTGCACCCTCCCTACCAGGTGTCGGTCCCTGCACCACAACATATAGGGGGGTTTGTGTGGGACTTCCTGGGAAAGTGAGTGCTCTATAAGGCTTCTGTTTCCTACGGGGTGGAATGTCACTGCTGGCTGCCCGGCTGCTGCTGCTGCTGCTGTTTGGGTCTGCTGCAATTATGCTTTTTTTCTTAGGTCAAACAGGAACTGCTTATGTCAAGTACAAGCTCTAACAGTCTCTGCATTCAACTCATGTCACAGTGGTTATAACCACAGTCCAAAGGAAGTTTGCTGCTATTCTCCCTGATTTAAAATCGGCAGAAGCTGTTGCTTTTCATTCTAATTCTCTTGCTGTGATTCACATTTAGTTCTAACCTCTGCTATCAGTTCTGCCTGAGCCAGATAAAACTCAAGTGTTCTAAAGTGTCTCATTGATAGAGGTCAGTATTGACTTATTCTTGAGGTTTATTGTGATTATTATCTTGTAATAAGAAAAAGAAAAAAAAAGAAGATTAAAGAAAGAAAAATACTGCTGATCATCAGCGACATGGCCATCACAACCTTTAGATGTATACTACCTTCAGATGGGTAGTATACACACAGAGGTATTTGTGTGCATGTATTCCGCAAATAAGAACTGATTTGGTTCTTGAAGGGTGGAAGTAAACATGTATGTATATGTTGCTTCAGAAGTAAGCGCTGACTAAATATATGTGGAAGTCCTGGTTCCAGTTACAGACGTAAAATTGGTTTTAATTTGGCATGCTTGCTATGTATGATAGCTAATCCTTGTAAGGACATAGGACACTACTATTTTTGTGTTGAAGGAAACTTGACTTTGCTTTGGGAGCAAATGAAGATAGTACTCAGCTTTGGAATACCAGAAGTCTCATTAAGAACAGCTGGAAATGATGGCTATTTTAAGAGAGAGATTTGGGGGAGTTTTTCTAGAAAGAATTTAAGGTTGCCCCATTCAAAAAGAAACCTTCAAACTTTTGATGTGTAGCAGCCAAAGGTTTACTCCTCATCTGAAATATTTCTTCTCAATAGTAAATAAAAATGAAAGATTAAAAAACGTAAGGTGATCTCAAAGGAGTACTGACAAATGTGGACAGTACAAGGAAGTATCTTACTCTGTATGTCTTTAAGACAGTGCCATGTTTGTGTAGCAGTCTGAAGGATAGATGGAGAGAGAAATTAACTGCATGTTCCATCAACTTTATGGTTTCCTAGAATAGTGAGAAGGAAACTATACTAATAAATTATGCACTAAGCTTAAGACAACAATTTGAAGTTGAAATACGTATTTTCAATGAGTATATGTCTTATAATAGTTGTCTTTCATTTTCAAGTTGATTGTTTCTGTGAATTTTACATATATTTTTTAGAGAATTTCTAAACAAGAACTACATCAGGGCATGAAAGTAATTTAAAATAAAAGGATTGCTGTCAAATTAAAGAACAAAAGCTGTTCGTAAAGTCATAATCTCATCATCATTAAAGTTAACCTTGAGAAGATGGTATGAC